AGCAGTGCCACCCACCTGGGACTGCACCTGGGACTGCAGCTGCACCACCCACCTGGGACTGCAGCTGGGCCACCCACCTGGGACTGCACCTGGGACTACAGTTGTGCCACCCACCTGGGACTGCAGCTGCACCATGGCGGCCTCCATCTCAGAGTTGGACTCATTCAGGTCGCGAATCTCCTGGTTCAGCTGCTTGATCTCCTCATCATTCTCCAATACTGCTCCAGAGAAAAACCTTGGTTGTGGCTCTTGGCTTTACGCCCAGGCCAGCATGTGGGGGTGCAGTGGAGGCCTATTTTCTAGGTGGAACAAAGGACCCTTTCCAAACAGAGGTAACCGGCCTGGCATGCTGGACAGCTCATATCCCACATGTCATGCTGGAACAGTCGGGCTTGGAGACTAGTAGCCCTGTGTCTACATCTGCCTCCTGACCCTGGGTGATAGGAGGATATAAATCTCTCTGGCAGGTATTAATCGCTAAAATAAAGATGGAAGTTTTCCAGGTGGTGCTGAATTTCCTCAGCTTCCCTCTTCCTTGAAACTGAATTCACAACTCCACAAACCCCAAGAACGTGGCTTCTGATGCTGCCAGCAGGGTTCTCTGACACCAACACGTACCAATACCTAAGTTAGAGCAAGCATGGCCACCTGAGGGCCAGGAGCCCAGACTCCAGGCAACCAGGGGTTCAGAGCTGAGGCTGGGAGACCTGTCGGCTCAGGCCAGGGGTCTGTCTCCACCATGACCCGGTCCAGGAGGGACTCTGCCTCCTTAACCCCTTCCACCAGCACTGCTCACTCACCCGGGTCACAGAGATCACTTGGAGGAACTACAGGAACCTTACCATCACTCGTCTTGAACTTCGTGCTGAGAACCTCATCCCCTGAGACTTTTCCCTTCTTCCCGGCAAAGGTTGCTCTGGGACAGCCGGATAAGCTGGAAGCAAAGGTCACACACCAAAAACCAGTCCAAAGTCACACACCAAGGGCCAGGCCAAGATGACACATCATAATGAAACCAAGTCCTCACTGGCCGGCGGCCTGGGAGGGTCCTGGCTTGGAACTTTCCCGTGTATCTCCTTGTGCTCCCTGTTCCCTGGCTCCAGCCCCCAGGCCTTTCCCAGCTCGGGCCACCGCCCTAAAGGTTTATCCCCAGACGGTGTGGGGCCAGCGCCTTACCCCTTTCTCAGAGAGGCCTCCCTCACTCCTCCCTGCCACTATTCTGCCCACAGCATCTACCCCTTCGGCCCTCCTAGGTACCTCACTCATTTATTTGCTTATAGTCGGTGCCCCACCCGCCTGGCTCAGATCGCCTCTTGCTCTCCGCTCTATCTCAGGGCCTGGTGTGGGGTGGACCCTCAGTAAAGGCTTGTGGAATGAACGAGCTAATTAATCTTGTAGGTGGAGCGACAAGGGCAGAACAAAAGAAAGACAAAGGAGGTTTCTGAAGGACTGTGTGGTAACCCCCTGCACCTCGGCCAACACCTCAGCTGCCTGGCACACAGAGGAAGAGAATGGGGGATCCAAGGACCCCCCCCCAGCCCTGGAGCAGGTATTGGGGGGCAAGCGAGAGCCCAGACAGGGAGGGCTCTTGCCACCATGTCCCTTCCACAGCAGGCAGAGGCCTAGACCCAAAGGTCGAAGAAGAGGCCCCAGCGGGAGGGGCACGAGGCACGACAAAGCCTCTCATGAGAAGCTGGCGGCCTGTCTCCAGAATGCACACACCAGACTCAGGGCTCTGCTCGCTCCTGCTGGAGGGACTCTCCTGGGTTGTAGAAGGGGGCTCATGACAGCAGCCACATGGGGTGACACGTGTCACAAACACCATGATCTCGCCCCCACAGACTGTCTATGGCTTCCCCCCGTCGGCTACCATCCTGGGCCTTGCTTTTCCCTAGAGAAACTATAGGCCACGACGGAGCCCTAGTCTGGCCCTTCTTGAAGAAACTTGCTCACACGCCCAAGGCTGGGGTCCCGATGAAACGCAGGATGTGCTGGGCAATTACCTCCTGTGAGTGAGGAAGCTACCGTTGGCGTGGCCAGAGCCATCACAGCCTGGAGTGGGGCAGGTAGGCCCCTCGTTCTTCAGAGATTTCCAGGAAAAGGGTGAGCCATTAAGGGAACCCTCTTTCTGCCTCCGTGCGGCCAGTGGGCAGCCAGATGCACTTCGGTGGGAGGCGTATTTGCCACTGATGTGACCAAGCCCCACACAGCCTGGAACAGGGCACCTGGCACAGAGAGGTCAGAGGTGAGCACAGGGCACTGGAGGAGGGAGGAGAAGCCCAGAGACTCTCCCAAGCCAGACACTGAGACTGCTGGGGGCTCCTGGGTAAACGCCCACTGTCTGAGGGATTCCTGAAGCCTTCCTAACCGGACACAAAGGCAGCAGGGACCACGTTCCCTCTCCAGCCGCAGCCTCACGCCCCCTGCGTCCCTGGAAGGTCAGCAGCTACCCTCTGTCCCCACCCCTCAGGAGCCTTGATGCCCCTGGGCCCTGGGCTAGCTCTCTGGAGCCTCTGGGGCTACACCTAGACCTTGCTGCCACATCACGTCTACATCACCCCAGCAATGTGGAGGCCACACCCTAGGGACTGCACCAAGCAAAGTGCCGGGGGCCCTGGGGGTCACAGAGGCAGCCATGCAGTGTGGGGACAGCAGAGGCCCCATCACCCTACAGCATCCCAAAATGAGACTGTCAAGGCATGATGTCCATAGATGTCCCCGTTTCGCCACATCTGAAATGTGTGTTCTGGAAGGAAGAACCCAGGCCACAGGGCTCATGCAAGAAAGACTCAGTTCAGACATTCCATCATGCCTCCTGCCCGAGGCTGGCTTGGAATGGCATTTTCCTTGGTTCAGGTTGTTCCAGGACAAGGAGAGAATCCCTTGAGGAAATAACACAAGCCCCAGGAACAGGTGAGGGAACTGGAGAAAGGTTCAGAGTGAATCCCCCTCATGCTGCCATTGGAATCCGTGCACCACAGAAAACTGGCTGCTGCAGAGGGCTCTGGCCATCCACCTTCATGGCCTTCAGGACGGACCTGGACCAGGAACTCCCCGCGATACCTTCTGAGCACCAACATTTCAGGATCATGGGATCTGAGCTCAGGACCACCTAGGAACCAACAACTGACCGAGGATGAGATCCTGCACCTGCAAGTTCTCAGTTTTCTCCCTCCGGCAAATGAGACTCATATAATTTGCCATTTGTATTTACCCACTTTCTAGGGGCTGCAGACCTGCCAAACACACAGGACCTTGAAAAGGGACATGTTGCCCCAGTTTAGAGAGAGGTCTCTGGGGTGGGGATGTCAGAGGCAGGAAGTCTTTTGGAGGGCAAGGGCCGCCCGGGGGCTCCTGCCGCAGCTGGTGAGGGGACGGGGACTTGCTGCCCAGAAGTTGCCCCTACACTGTGGCCTTGCCCCCAAGGTGGCCACTGCAGACATTTTCCTAGCCTCCTTGGCCTGGATCCGTCCTCACTTGTCTCCTCTCTTGGTGCCCATCCCTCTCTCTTCTTCATCCCACACACGTGGGCCTCAGACATGCAGGGTGGCCCTGAGCCGGTCCAAGGTCATCTCGGCAATCAGTCCAGAGTGAAGATACTGCCACGGGCCCTGCAAGGAGCTTGGGGAGGATCCACTCTATGTCTGCCCCTCACACCTGGATACCCCCCAGCTGTGGGGTCCCAACGGACACTGAAGCACGTCTGAGCACCCAACAGAACAAGATCAAAAGACCAAATGAGAGGCAGCTCTTCACAGTTACAACACACAGTTGAATCTGAATTCCTTTTACTCACATTCTTTGCAAAACCCTAACCCTCTTCATCAAGAATGATTCCCTGGAATTTATTCATAGTGGGTATTTCAGACATGTGGACAGCAACACTGATTTTCTTCCCCTCCACATCCAGTGTCCAAATCTTCAGAGCTATCAGGTGACCTCACACTAAGATGTGTGTGGGGGGCCAAGTCAGTCAGCTTCTGTACCTCCCAGGTGAGCCAGGGGTGGGGCCATCAGGACCCCAAGGTCAGAGGCGCATCTCTTTTGTCAGATGTCAGTGTAGCTGGGGACAGTGGTGGGTGTGGGGGGCTCTCCACAGGCGATGGGCGTTGAGCTCCTAACCCCCACACTGGAACATCCACAAACTTTTATGGCCAGTTATTTCGTTTTGGCCAAAGGGATTTACCACAATGTACTGACATGACTTAATCTCAAATGGTGCAGACACAAGATGTCATAAAAGGGAACTCTTCCCCCACCAGCCTTCCACAATCACAGCGAGCAAGCACATGCTCACAAAATCCCATCACTCGACAGGACCTGATGCACTGATTAAAGTTTCTGCTGCGGTCTGCACTTGTTTAAAGATGATAGTCAGTTATAAATACAGTTAAAGTTTATGGCTGGGGAGGAGGCCCTATAAAATGGAGGTGCTGAATGGGCGCCCCCCCCCACCCGCTGCGCCTTGCCATGGAGCCATTAGGAACTTCATCCATCCTGTAAATGCTGACCTGCTTCTAAGTCATATTCTCCACTTGGCTGCAAAAATCTTGTTTTTTAAAAAGCAAAGTTGACAGCACATTAGGAGGAAGAAAACCATTTTTCCCAGTTAACTTGAAAAATGCTGATCTTGATTTTAATCATTTGCAAATGCAGCACAATTCACTTATCATAGCCCTACAGCAGGATCCTTTCTGCATCCATAGCAGCTTGTGTTTATATGGCTTCTCAGAAGGGTAAATTTCTTCCTCCATCCTAGCATTTAGTGGGCTGCATTCATGACACCAACATCCACATACTTTGCATTTTTGAGTTGGCATTCATTATAGTTTTATTGTAAAAACTAAATTAAATAAACAAGCCACAGCCTTTTTACACCAAACAGCTGGTGGGGCCAGCCCCTTGGAAGGATGTGATGCTGGTCAATCAGGTATCTCCTCTGTAGCCAAGCAGATGTTTAGGCGCAGCTGGGGTGAGCTCCAAGGAGGAGCTACTGACTCTTGGCCCAGGTTGCTCCCCTCAGCAGGGGTGAGCATCCAGCTACTCTTGGCCCAAAGGCAACGCAATCAGGGCAGCCGGGCTTTCTGTGCACCTGCCTGGCTATGCCCTGACCAAGCCAGCCTTAGGCTTGCTCCACGACGCAGCCAGAACCCTTCCCTTCCACTCCTCAGCTGGCAAGAGGACCCAGTGCTCTGTTCACTGTCAGCTCTGAAAGTCCTGGGAAAATTGAATGGTGGGTCACTCTGTTTGCCCCTGTGGCCCAGCCTTGCCCCTACTGGCAAGTGGGGGGTTCAGGGGCAAGTTCCCTTCTGGAAGTATAAACTTGCAATGATGCAAACCCTACCAAGTGGGGCACTCACAGGGTCAGAGTTCACACACAATCCCCCTGATGACATGTTAGGCACCCCCCCATGAGACGGTCAGTGGTGGGTATCAAGGACTTCAATCATGTAAGGCCCAGGATGTCGTTGCTCCTCCCCACAGCAGTGTCGAGGTCCCAGTTCAGGGTGACCCTCCTGGGCTCCCCCTTTCCATACCAGCTCCCTGCAAAGGTATGTGACTGTGCAGACACACACAATTCAAAAACTGATCATCTTTCTAACCATCCTCTCCTCCTTGACTCCTGCACCTGTCCTTTCCCATCAGACCACAGCTGTGCAGGTTTCAATACCCATGAGCACCCTGTGGGGCTGCTCCATGCCCTGAGCCCTCACCCAGGTGACCCCCCCCCAGGTGCACGGGCAGCAGGGCCCTTTGCCTCTCCTGGCCCCATCAAATACCCCCAGATCTGAGGAGCCCAGACAGAAGCCAGTGCCTGTGCGTGCCCTTGATACAACACACATGGCTCACAGCTTCAGAGGTGTCCACATGCACAGTAGGAGAACTTTGGTAAAAATGGGCATTGTCATTGACCAGCTGTGTTAATGAAAAAGAAGTCTAGAAGGAGCTTTTTTAAAATTATAACATACAGGAGCATCCCAATTCTGCAAAACAACCACAGGAGTCAGCAAGACCCCAACTTACTTCATCAGCTCGGGGTCTTCCTTGTCGTCCTTGGTGGGTGTCACCCTGGCTCCACTTTTCTTGGCACGAGGGCAGCCTGACAAGCTAGTTTTGAAAAAGGGAAAAAAAGCCACTGTGGTCCCAGAACAGCAACTTTTCACACCCATCTGCTCCACCCATCCCTCCCAGCTCTGTGGCCAGCCGCCCCCATGGGATCCCAAGGGAACTTCTGTCCTGGAGCACTCTCGAGGGCAGGAGGACGGTGGCAGGAGGTGTCACCACGAGCCCTTTAGGTCTGGTGGCAGAGGGCGACCTGATCGGGCTTCAGGAACATCAATTCAGATGACAGAGATGAATCAGGCTCCGGTTGCCAGCAACATTATTGTCTTATTTGGAGCACTGCCACTTTGTCTGAGGAAGTGACCATCCCGCTCCACCTGGCCTGGCAACCCGGGGCACGGCAGGCTCACCTTCGGTGTGAGGCGTAGTTCCCCGTTATGTGGCCAGAGCCGTCACAGCCGGGTGTGGGGCACCTGTGGAGGACAGCGGAGCTGGAACCAGAGCCAGGGAAGACACTTGACCAGAAAGGTCCCCCTCTGTGCCCAGCCCCCGAGTGGTCCCACCCGCCTCCTCAGCACTGGTCTCAGAAATGGCGTGCATGTCCCGGCCAGCCTGCTGCCATGACGCCTGGCCTTCAGAAAGTTGCCACCTGGTCTCCCCAAGGGGTCCAAGAAGGCCAAGACAAGAGCACATCTCCACTGCAGGAATCATGGGCTCCCATTTCAGCCTTCGATGGGGTTCTAGGCTGGACTAGAAGGTTCCAGAACACATATGGGCCTTTAAACAGCATTCGGAAAGGCAACCCTAACAGCTAAGATGGGCTCCTCTTCCTTGACATGATTAGGAGGAAGAGGGGTTGTTTTCATGGAGGGTCGCCACCATCTGAGCGAATGAACTGATGTCTACTGAGCACGCATGACACACCGTCCACAGCGCCGTCACCTAGAGATGGATTTCTCAGTGAGTGCCGAAGTCCCACAGCCAGGGGCTGTTCAGCGGTGGCAGGCACTGGCCAAGGGTGAGGAGGGGAACACAAAACACAGAAGCCCAACTTGATGCGTCCAAAATGTTTGACAAACATATCCCATTGAAGGTGAAAATTACACTTTAATACACAAGTATGGATTTTCTTAAAATTTTCTGCCCTGAACGTCCATGGCGGAAGAGTGAGTGAGTTCCTGCTGGTACCAGAATGGGGAGGTGTGCCTGATTCTGCAGGTGGATCCACCAGAAACCTCTGGAGCAGGTCTGCCACTTTGTACCTGTTCCATGGAAGGGTGCAGCTCCAACCCTGTGGGACCTGGCGGGACCTTGGTGTTTGCATCTGGGATCTCACAGGACACTCATCTGCCAGTTCTGGTTTCATCCTCACACAGAGAAGAAACCATGGGAGCCGAGGCCCAGGAGGGTTATGGGGACTCACATCAGCTGAAACAGGACACAGGTCTCTGCCTCTCAATCAATAGAGTTCTCTAAGGCACTTAGGCCCCTGTGCTGTGCCCACGGCCCTTCCTCGGCACCCTCTTCCACCGGCCAATGCAGCATCTGGCATTTGGAGCAGGAAGCTGGAGAGGAAGCCGGCACAGCCAAAGGACCCCGCACAGCTCTTCGGCTGCCTCCTAGAACTCAGCAGGCCAGAACTGCCTGTTCCCGTCAGAGGAAGCACAAAGCTGGTGTGGCAACATGGGAGGGGTCAACGCCCAGCGCACCAGCTTCTTCTCCAATCCCACTGTCTTTCTCGAGGCATCCCCTTCATCCCTGTGCTGTGGGCCACACATGGGAAGCCTCCTTGGGCTGCCAGCAGGCCCACCAGTCCAATCGCCCTCCTGTCGGATTTAGGGATAACTCAAACCCTGTGAGATTAAAATGGCTCCTACTCTGGTCATGTGTGGTCACATTTCAACCCACACACGTCTAGGGCAAGAAGGTTTTTGCATTTTAATAGAAACCACACACCACCTCCTTCTACGTGAGCTTCACTCCTTTCACACAAACCCCCAACCCGTACAGAGGTCCTGCGGGGACACGTTGTGCCTCTGCATCATCCAAGGTCCCAGGGTGTGAGCTGCAGTGGTTGGCCCCTTGCTGTGGGCACCAGGTCCTTCAGGCATGTCAGGGTATGCCTCACACTACTCTCCACTGAGGCCAAGGTCCTGTTGATGCCTCACTGCCCCCGCCTCAGCTCAGAGTGCCCTGCCAAGCATTCTCATGGCCCACGCTAGCAGGAGCCCTGTTCCTGCTCTCTGGAAGGCTAAGTGCAGAGACTGAGGAGGGTGCTTCTCCTTCCCGGGTTTGCGGGTGCTCAGGTGGCCGCCTGGGGCTCCACTCTTTCTCGGCTTCGGGAAAACATGACAGAACTCAGGTTCAGTGCTGCAGGTGGTGGGCAGGGCATCAGCAGCCCCAGGCCTTGATGCCTGTAAGTGCAGGTCTGGTCTCTGGTGCAGCCCCCGTGGCACCTGTGAGTAAGGCTGGCAGGAGAGAGCATGCACATGGGGATGGTCCCTGCCAGGCCCCAGCACAAGGGGGCCCACTGAGGCACACCTTCTCCAGACCGGGGCGGGGGGGGTTGGGGGGGGTGGGCACATGCATTCCTTGCCAAGGCCCAATTCAATGGCTTTTCCCGAAAGACGTGGCCAGTAGAAGATGACGTTCATGTGGCTAGAGAAGCAGGTATCCATGCTGGGCGCTGGCTGTGTCAGCCACTCCCGTGCCCCTGAGGACCCACAGGGTCAGTCGCAGGAACCCTCTCACCATCTGCTTCTGAGTGCGTTGTCTGGGCAAGAGGAAGAATCCTGTGCCTAAAGGACACACTACAGCTTGATGGCGCACAGCAGGTCTCGTCTCAGAGCCCCACCCGTGTCCCATGGTGAGTCCGCCACCCCCACCTGTCAGAGCCCCCATCACACCCCTTGCAAGGTACACACCCTGCACCTCAACTCCCCACACACAGACTGGGCTGAGTAGCCCAAGGCAGCCGTGTCCCCAGCCCCTGACCACACTGGGCACTTGGTAGGGAAGAGCAAATGCCCTTGGGATTCGATTAAAGCACAGAAAACACATGATCTGAAGCTGTCACTGCACCCAGTTGTTGATAGGGAGGCCACCAAAGGAGCCCTGTTTGCAAGGCAGTGATGTAGGTGTCTTTTCCTCTCTGGGGACAGGTCACCTTCCCCCATCACCGCCACAAGGCTGGTCAGGAACAGCCTCTAGAAGATGCCCACTGGACAGGAGGAGGGAGGAGGAAGCCGGCTTCCTCACCAGCACACCAGGACCATGTTGGAGGCCTGCCCGCATCCACCCCGAGCCCTCGCTGTGGCCCGAGAGCCTGCATCCACCCTAAGCCCTTGCTGTGGCCTGAGAGGACAGAGTTGACTCCCACAGAAAGACCTCTGGGGCCAGAGAAGAGCTTGGGGGGAGTCTGGGCACCTTCCCGGACCTTGCCAAAGCTGATGAGTGACTTGTTTCCACACAAGACCTTCTGTTGTTATTTCTAAACCGGTTTGGGTTAAGGTTCCTCACAGGCTCTTAGTCGTAGACGAGCACTAACCCTCCCAGATGGCCATGTTTCCAGACCCAGACCAGGCCCTGAGCACCTGCTCTGCAGGAAGAAAGGTCTGAGAGCTCTAAAATCATTCCGGCCCTCAAACTGGAAAACCATGAAAACGGATTACAGTTAAAATGCAAGTTGAATTGGAAAAGGAAATAGGAAAAAAGAACATGGGAAAGACGTTACAAGAAGAGAGGAAAGAAAGGGAGGGGAGATGGGGGAAGAGGGTCCTGAGCCTGCAGGACGGATGGTTTCCACTGGATGTCTGGGGCTGGGCCCGGGGTGGTTGGGTGAGCATGTGAATCCGCCATGATGAGCTGAGCCTCAGAGAGTGTTCACGTTAAAGCTGTTAGCTCCTAGAAGGACGATCCTGGTGGTGGACCTAGCCCAGAACAGAGGGCCCCATTGGTGACAAGGGGCAGGGACACGCTTCTGGCTGCTGGGACCAGAACAGCCTCCCCAGAGTGACAAAGAGGAGGCTGGCAGGATGGGGGCACTCTAGAGATCTAGGGCTTTCTGCCCTGTTTCTAAATCAGCTCAGGCCCCTTGGAAGCCTTTGGCAGCAACAGCTCCTCATCTTAGAGGCCCTAGGGCCCCGGCTCCTGTCTGGCCCCGGACGGAATGAGCCTGGATTCCGTGGCACGCAACATGGAGGCTCAAGGGAGGGACGGACACCCCTGGAGAGGGGGTGAGCTGAGAGGGCAAGAGTTAGGACCTCCTTCCTGAGCCTCTGCTCAGCCTGGGAGCCCAGGGTCAGCACTGCATGGCTCAGGGTCACAGTGGCTCAACTGAATGCATAAAAACCAAAGGCAATGACAGTCCCCAACGCCAGCCCCAAGAGGACACTGATAACCTGGGAAACCTCTGGGTGCTGCCATCACATTTGAGCAGGGTGGTCAAGCAGGCTAGTTGGTGCCCACAAGGCCTGGCCTGCCTGTGTGTTAGGGACAGGGAGGAAAAGCAGAAAGAGGGGAGGCCCTGCAAAGAGAAGGGATGAGCAAGGAGAGGTGTATCTGGGAGGGTCACCAGGGGCCAAGACAGAAGCAGCTGCAGGGGTCGTAGGAGAAGGGCAGGGCAAAGAGTTTTCTCTTGCATTATCAGCACCCAGATCCCTTAGCGAGAGCCGCGCAGCCTGAAGCCCACTGAGCCACAGCAAGACTTAGAAGCCAAGGCCAGCTCTGGGCTTCTCCCACACCGCAAGGGCAGTGACAGAAGCAGGCCCAGACAACCCCATACTGGGTCCTCGGGAGAGGGAGGGTGGGCTGAGCCATCAGGAGCTAGTGGCGGGTCCTCCGGCCCTCTGTCCTCAGAGTAGTCGGCAGGGCCGAGGCAGCACAGGGGCCTGCAGCAAGGGACAGGCAGACAGCAACACTCAGAGCAGAGACACACAGGCGGCAGCAGCAGGAGCCCCCGGCAAGCAGGTCGGCCCCTCCATGGCCTGTCTCTCTGCCCCATCCTGCTGGGAGGGGCTCCCCTGGGGCTGGAGCCCTGGAGAAGGCCGACTTTGGCTGGGGCCTCATGGAAGGAGAGAACAGAGCAAGGGAGCCACCCAAGAGACGGGAGGCCAGGAGGGCAGACATACTTGAGGTCAGCAGAATGGGCAGCCATGAGGTTTCTGAGGCTCTTGTCAGCAAGAGGGCAACCAGAGAGGCTGAAAGAGAAGAGATGGGACACTGGGGTGAGCCAGAGGGGGAGCAGAGGAGGGGAGGGGAAGACCCACCACACAGCACCCAGGCCAGGCTGGACCCGAGCAGGGACGAACCTGCGGTGAGAGGCATAGTTCCCGGTGATGTGGCCACTGCCATCACAGCCAGGGGTGGGGCAGCTGAACAAAGGAAAAATAGTGTCAGAACAGAGAGCAAGGCACACCTGCCAGGCCTGCCCCCCGGGCGGAACCCACTCGGGGAGAGTGGCTGACACTTGTTCTTGACTCACCCACGAGCCAAGGGGCGATTCCTACCCCCTCGGTCCTCGGACTGCAAGCTTCTCCCACACAACTTGACTCAAGGAGGAAAAAGGAACCAAATTCAAGCTCAGCTTGAAGCTAGGATGCCTCTGCATGCACACATGTGTGCACCCACGAATGTGTAGACAGGCAGTTCTTTCCTAAAGTGGCATGACCCTCCCTGAGGACAAGGTCCCAGACCAGAGCCTGGGAAGAGTCAGCTACAGGTTTGGTTCATAGCAAGGAGAATGGAACCCCAGGGACAAACTGAGCACAGGGGAAGGCTGGGTCCCCGGTGGTGCATGTGCCAGATACAGCCCCCCACAGTCCTATGGAAGAAGCAGTTCTCCAAGGAGGTTTGACCAGAAGGCTGTGGGGTGGCATCCAACCATGGGGTGACTCCTATCTACCAGCAGCTTCCCCAGTCTGCAATGGCATCTGCTTGGACCCCGTGACGACCAACTCAAAGGGGCTGGCTGGGCTGCCAGAGCCGAGGGCACTGAGTGCACGTCAGGCCTGGGCTCTGAGAGCCAGGGCAGACGGCTGTGGCTCAGGAGAGGGTCAGCTTCCCTCGGCCCTCGTCCTGTTGTGGCCCGAACAGCGGCTCTTCCTTGCTCTCACACTTTAGAAGGTTGTGTTAGATCCAAGTGCAGCGCAGAGATGACGGGAAACCCGTCACCCATTGCTGGGCTCAAGAGTGTCGTCGTGCAGGACGCCCAGCCTCTCCGGCCAAGAGGACAGTTGGAGCTAAGCTGGGGCGGGGACAAGGCCTGGGGCTGAACAGATCCGGTCATTAGGGACTCAGACCAGGGCACACTTTCTTCCAGACAATGAAGGTTCTCGGGGAGTCCTCTTGGCCCAGGTGGGCACTTACGTGAGCAGCTCCTTCTTTATGTCCTTGGAGAGAAACTTCATCTTAAAGTTGGTCAGGGTAACTTCCCCAGGATACTTCCGCTCCTCAAAACTCTCTTCCGACACTTCCTGGTCATCTGCTTCAGAAGAAGCAAAAGAATGGGCTGCTGGCTCTGACTGCAAAAAACCAGCAGGGAGACGTTTTAACCGGCTGGCGGGGGGCCGGGCGCCCGACCCGGGGGCTGAGGGAGAGGGACCCTTCAGAACAGTGTTCGCAGAGACATTTTCTGGAGTCTCCTGCCTTCTGGATGAGGGAGGAAGCCTTACACCCCCCCAAAAAGAAAGCGCAGAAAACAGCACCCCTGAGGGGCTAGAGTGCCCCCCCACCTCGGCCAGAGCTGCTCAGCTGCCCCAGGGATGAGGAGGCCTGGGTGCTGCCCAGTGCGGCCGGCTGCACCACCCTCCCACAGCCTCGGGCGTGTGGGTCACCTCCACCTAACAGCCACTGGGCCACCTTCTAGACACAAGAACCTACACATGGTGCAGCTCCTCGGGGCTCAACAGACAGTAGCACCAAACAAGGGTTTGTTGAGATGCTATGACAATGAGAGCACAAGGCGATAACATAGAAAATGCGACCTTGTGACCCCTGCACCTTTCCAGCCAGCGCCAGGCCCCGACCGCAGCAGGCCCTTCATCAGCTCAAGTTCTAGGTCTGGAGGGGATCAGGAACCAGCAGAGGGCAGGGTACTACGGACACAGGGTTGGACAAGGACAACAGTAGAGAAGGCCAACAGCCTGCAAGTGGGTCTGTGCTGGTCCTTGGTCCACATCCCAGTGCTAGCGTGTGTGTGTGTCTCAGCAAGGTGTTCAACCTCTCTGGGCCCAGATGGTACACTTTCAAACTTGAGATAATGGCAGCCCCTTACGGGAGTTCTGGGGATCCAAAGTGCAGAGCCCAGCGCAGCGGAGGCTCTTGGGAACTGACAATGAATCTCGTCATTGTCAGGGGGTGTGCGAATCCTGCCGCTGATACTATTACTGCACAAGGCACGGGGAAGCGGGTCCTTCCCCTGAGCAAGTTGGCCTTAGCTGGGTCTTTAGGGTAGATGGCAGCTTCCCAGAAACACAAGGAGGGGGCTGTTCCAGTGCAGGGAGAGCATCTCAGAGGCCCATGGACACCGCCCTGACTGCTGCCAGAGGACGGAATGGGAGATGAGGCTGAGGGTGAGGGCACAGCCTTACACAGGATGGATCAGGGAGCCTCAGGCCGAACTGGAGAGTCTGAGTCAGGGGTCCATGGCCACGGTAGAGGGGCCAGGAAGGCCTGGATGAGGGAGGCATTTCTGGGGGTGACCCACCTGTGCCCAGAAGGGGGCTGGAGGAGAGGAAGGGACTGGGAGTGAGCTGAGGCTCTAGAGTGGAGAATGACGGTGGGGAGGAGTGTGGGGGCAGGCTTCTGTGGGCAAGGAAGTCTCAACCTCTGAGACTGATGACATGAGTCTTGGGGTGCTCAGAGGGTGTGTGAAAGGAGAAGGGGCGGGGCAAGGCAGCCAGGGATGTCAGCCTGAGCTGGCAGTCATGGAAAGGGGCAGGGAGGGGCCTAGCGAGGGGCTGCAGTCACCAGGAAGGGGGCTTAAACCTGGGGGCAGGACCGGAACGAGGTAAGAGCACACTGTACTGGTGGCTCCCCCATAGGAGGGCCCCACTTGGCCTCAGACTGGGCTCCCAGTGACCGGGGAGAAAACCACCCACACAGACCCAGGAGACCATGTCCCGGGCCAGCCCCTTCCACTCGGGGCTCAGTCTGAGAGGTGTCCCCCTTCTGGGGCCTAACCCTAAGTTATAGCCACACCACTGCGCCAAGTGACCTCAGCCTGGGGCCCAGTCTGCTCCTTTATAATGTGGAGATACACGCGAGGTATGTAGAGGGAGCTGGGGGAGGGAGGGTTGGACTGCAGGATGGTGGTTTCCCAGAGAGGGATCTTCCACAGGGACCGGCCCTCCTGCCCTTCTGGGGTTGGTGGGTGGGGTGCTGGCAGGGATGGGGAGGGAGGGAGAAGGGAGGGGACCTGCAGGCCTGCCCACGCTGTGTGGAGGCTCCCCGGAGTCTGTGCCATCTCACAGCCGGGCTCTGCTACTCAGGACGCACACCTCTCTGGGGAAGAGCCTTCAATCAGTCCCATTCTCAGGAGGGTAGAGTGGTTAGAAAGGGATGTCCCCCTGTCCCCAAACTGCAGCTCCGACAAAGACACCTGGCTTGTTGCTCTTTACCAGGTGGTGCTAGTCTTGGGACTCAGGCCACTGCCCACCACAGGGGGTCCTCTGTCCAAGGAGCCAGCTGGCTGCGTTGTCCTGTGGGTGGTGAGCAGGGACTGCTGCCAGAACTCAGGATGTCCCTATCTGGACAGCAGGTTGCGGGGAGGCCACAAAACCCAGGAATTTGGAGCCATTCCCAAATATTTCCCATGGGATGTGAAAGAAGCCCTCCTTCTCCCCATGCTTTCCAAGGGCCCACGATGGCGATGATCACCGGATCCGTGGAAGTGAGAAGACACCTTCTCTCTTAGACAGGACAGGACCGCAGCATGGCCCAAGGGTGAAAAACTCCCCAGGAGGGCGGGCCGATTCCTAGCTTCCTAGAGGTAGCAAGGCCCCCTGAGGACAGGGACAGGACCCTGGAAGCTCTTCCTGGAGAAGCAAGCACTTTCTACACCAGCCCTCGGGCCCCACACCCACCTCCTCGGGCTCCTCCTCTCGTTGGCGGCTGGGTTTGGTGTAGTCCAGAGGTCGATCCCACGCGTCCTGGCGGGAAGCCTGGCTGGACTGGGGCGAGGTCATGGAGCTGCTTGGGGCGCTGGTACTGCTCTGGCGCTGGGAGGCTTCGGGAGACTTCACACCAGGGCTGCTGCTGCTGGGGAAAGCGCTTTCTCGCTTGCGGTGTTTGTGCATGCTCAGGTCTAGGGTTCCGTTCTCATCCACCTCAATGTCCACAGCCTGCAATTGTAGAGGCAAAAATCCATGCTAGCGATTTTACCCTTTCCCAGGTGTGCCTTCTGGTACATTAAATCAGCATTACAGAAAGCCCAGAACAGTGTTTCCCTTGGAAGGAAGCAGAGCCAAACAAGAATGGAAGAACCTCTGAGAAGCAAGAATCTTGACTTGCCACTTCCTGAAATTCACGTGGAGGGCCTCCACTCTCTCTCAGGTCTTGCAGACATCACAAAACCTTGAGACGTGCTGACCATGATCACACAAGGACATGTGCTCGACTCTCAGATTCAGGGGAAGATGAGGTCACACGTGTGTGCAATGACCCTCAGACTCAGGGGAACACATGGGAACGTGTGTGTGCGTGACCTCAGACTCAGGGGAACACATGGGAACGTGTGTGTGCGTGACCTCAGAGTCAGGGGAACACATGGGAACGTGTGTGTGCGTGACCCTCAGACTCAGGGGAACACATGGGAACGTGTGTGTGGGCGTGACCCTCAGACTCAGGGGAACACATGCGAACGTGTGTGTGGGCGTGACCCTCAGACTCAGGGGAACACATGCGAACGTGTGTGTGCGTGACCTCAGACTCAGGGGAACACATGGGAACGTGTGTGTGCGTGACCCTCCGATTCAGGAGAACACATGGGAACGTGTGTGTGCGTGACCCTCCGATTCAGGGGAACACATAGGAACGTGTGTGTGCGTGACCTTCAGACTCAGAGGAACACAAGGAAACTGGACCCTCAGACTTAGGAGAACATGAAAGAATATGCGTGTGCACAGCCATTTGGTCCTCCTTAGGCACAGCACAGAGAGCTCTCAGAGGAGACTCGTCATCATGAGCCATGACCAGGAGGAAGAAAAGGTAAGAATGATAATTGTCAAGTGGACACTGAGTGTCCCTAAGCACATTTTATGCAGGGGCATGTGGTCCTGACTGTAAGTCCCACCAGCCTGTCTCTGCCTCAGAGGGGCTCCTTGTAGCGGACACACCAACCTTGCTGGGCAGGTCCTGTGGCTTCGTGCTGAGGTTCTCGGGCATTTCCCAGCAGCGCGTGGAGAGGTTCAGGATGGCTGTGGCAGCCATGTGTGCAGCCTCGGCATCATGCGCGTAGTCGAAGCCTGCAGAGGAGGATGAAGTGCAGGGGCTGTGCCTGGGGGAAGAGGCCTTTGGGAAAGGTTTGGCTGCAAAAAGGGAACAACACCAGGCTGATATACAACTTGAATGGGAAGTGGCCACACAGACACAGTGGGGAACTTTGGGATGGCTGGGAGTGCACAGGGCACAGCTACATGGAGGGTGGGCTAGGGGCAGGGTCATTCATCGCAGTCACAGGTGCCCACAGCACACTCCTACTCACCCTCTCATAGGGCATTCAGGAGGCCATTTCTGGCTCTTTTAAAATTTGGGCAGAGAGAACAAAACCCTCCAAAGATATTCCAGCATCTCTGATATATCAAACAAATACAAGTTGTCTATTGGTGAATGATAACTGAGAGAGTAAAGAATTCTGTAAATAGGAGTGGGTAGAATATTATTCAAGTAGGAAAGTTTTTGTCACAACATCTCGAAAGGCTACTTTTGGTGTCCCCATAATACCACTTCAATAAAGTCATGTTATTATTCAAACAAACATGACCAATGAAGGCATAAAATGTTATCTTTTCTAGTAATTATATTGTAGTCATAAACTAACTCTCAGGCATGACATTTCCGATATCACGGTATCACCAGTAAATTTCCAGATCTACGAAGAGCTTCTTGTGAGTGTTACATGGTGCCTGTGCATAATGGCACCGAACAAGTGGGACAGATGTCCACGCTATAGCTGGCGACTGCGTCATCACTTAGTGTTTCCATTATTAACATGACAGAAACTCCTCACTGCTGCATTTGAGGGCCAAACACCCACTGGGAGAGGCCAGTTCCTATCTCATGGGTAAATTGGGGTGCTTTTCCATTTCATATGTGTTTCCAGGGCTAATGGGTTTGCAACCCACAGACTGGTATATATTCAGTGACCAAAACAGGCAAGGAAGGGTTGTTCTCGGAATGCATTTTGTTAGTACAAGTACCCAGAGAACTTGTGGCTAATATTACAACACACTGTATCCAGCAAAGATGGTCCATGTGCAGGAAGGCAAATAGCTTCTGTCAGGGTAACCAGGCTCAGCATAGTGGTTGTCTGAGCCCCCACAGGGTGGACCACATCAGGGAAGCTATTCTTAAGCCTTTGGACATGCACACCATAAAGGACCTAGGTTTTGTTTCACATATAGTGAAGAGATACATCATGCTTGATGGGGAACATGGTGGCAGTAACGTGGGCAAGATATAGACTCCGGGAAAGCCACCATGGTAGACATGGGGATGGCCAGGTACCCCCGGGGGAGAGATTCCCTACATGCTTCTGGCGAGGGGGGTCCTTCCTCCCCCGTCTCTCAAACCCTACACCTCCCAGGAGTAGATCTCCCCAACTTACATTTAAAGGCTTTAGGTGAGGTTTCGCTGGTCTGAATCTTTGGGGCAAGCATGCGTTTGCCAAAAACCTGAGCGTCAAAACTTGCGTAGTCAAAGGTGACCTTGGAGAACTTCTCCAGCTCCTTGGCCAGGTTGGCCCTGGGTGTGGCAGGGGCCACACTAGGGTGGTAGCTTCCATACGGAGGGACTTCAAGCTGCTTCACGAAGCACATAGGCCTGAGATGCAGGACAGAGGTGCAGAACCATGAGGACAGGGCCCAGGGATCCCAAGCCCCATCCTACAGCCTGGGCAGGAAACCCTCAGAGCCCTGTGTGCACAGAGACCCTCCCCCATATCCCACCACTAATGGGTGTCTGGGGCCTGCTCTGTATGAGAAAGAACTGCCTGCAGGCAATAGAGGCCTTGAAGAAACAATGGCATGTGTCTTTGCAGACCAGAAGAAGAGGGAGGGCCTTAGACGATCCCCCAGAACTTAGGAGGGCATGTTTCAAACAGCTCTGCTGCCAGTAGTGTGAGCCTTTAGCAAGCAAGCCTACAGGAGCATCCCTCAGAAAGTGGCCAGCCATCCCTAGACAGAATTCTCCTGGTGCAATAACACAGCTGCCCAGTGAGGAAGGAGATGGGGCATCCAGAGGGGACACGGGTACTTCTGAGAACCAGGCTCAGGGAGGGCCCGACTCAGCTCTTCATGGGCCAGGGGCTCAGCCCTCCACTATCCTCTGCTTGAAGTCGGTGGAGAAGAGCCCCAGAGGGGCTGAAGGGGTTGAGGGCAGAGGTGAAAAGGCCACTGCAAGCATTCGTTCACTGTCACTGAAGCCCTTGGAAGAGCTCAGCATTGTAAACGCACGAGAGGTAGCGTAGAGACACCAGCTCAGACGGCACAGGGGCCAGGGCAGGAAGACCAGCCAGGTGGGGAAGGGCCCCCACACAAGGTGTGGACAGGCTTCTGTGATGGTCAGCTCAGAAACAAGGGAAGGAGGAGGAGAGGCTGGGAGGACCCTCTGCACCCCCGGCTCTCTTTACTCCTGACTCTGAACCAAGCAATGACTGCAGCCTGGAACTAAGAAGGAGTGGATGGTAAGGTCTCCAAGATGCCAAGTGCTGTAAGAACAGGAGCCCAGTGACAGACCCCGCAACCATGAGGAAATCAGCTCTGAGCCTGGACCTTGGAAAAGCAGATGCGCCCAAGCACAGGCACATTCTCCCCCCAAGGAGGGCCAAGCAGAATCTGAAGAAGTTCTGGAACAGTGCTCAGGCACCGCCCAGGGGAGAAAAGAACCCTGAACTTAATATTGGTGCCACGTTTCGTTGGCTTCCTTGACCAGGGCTCCATCCCGCAGCAGACTTAGCATCTGTGATGCCAACAGAGGTTTGCAAAGACTCACCCCACACCCCAGGGCATGACCCTCAGGAACGTGGTCACACCGAATAAACAGAACCTGAACACAAGGCTCCTGCATCCTGGCCTCAATCGCTTCCATTTGAGGCTCGTCACCAAGGGCCTGGGAAGGCAAAACGTCATGATCTTGTTCAAGCCTCATGAGATATTTGTGGAGAGTCCACAAGATAACGCTGTTGTCCACTTTCACAGGCAAACAAATGGAGGTCAAATTCCCAGGAGCACAGCCGCCATGTTGGAGCCTCTTTGCCCCCAACCCTGGCTCAGGGGGCCTCACCTGCCTGCTGGTTTGACATCTTACCAGTGACTTAGATCAAGTCAGGAAAAGACTGGATTAGTAATGGACAGGAAGCTAGAAGGAACAGTTATAGGGTAGAAGCAAGAAGCAGCTTCCAACCATCCCAATAGCCAGCAGGTGGAAAGGAGCCAACTGGACATACAGGGCTGAAGGCACCCATGGATGGGAGTGCAGGAGGGTTAGGCCCCGGCTCTGGCCCCACCCAGAGGCCCCTCACAGGGGACCCGCAGAACAAACCCAGATGGGTGGCTGGGTTCTCGGGTTGAGACCTTGGCAGGCACACGCCAGGGAAGGGACAGGGGGTTGGGTGGGCCCTGAAAGGAGGTGGGCCTCCCTCCAGACCAGGGTCCGTGCTATTGCCCATGTTTGTGACTGCCTGACAACGGCCCTTGCCTCCCACATTCTCCTTTGAGACGCAGACATGGGACAGGGGTCTGGAAAACTGGGGAAGGGGAAGACTTATGTGAGTCCTAGTCCCTGAGAGAGAGACAGGAAGCAGATTGTGCACCGAGTGAGGGCAGTAGGTAGGGAGTCACCCCGCTTGTCAGGAACAAGACTCGGAGGGTGGGCTGGGCGGCCCGGTGCCAGGTCCCCCAGCCAATAACTGCGGCCTTGGGCAAGTTCCTGAGACTCGGGCCTTCGTTGTGGCACCTGCTTCACAGACTCACGTGGGTGGCGGGAATGCTAAGCAGATGCATTCTGTATGGCCTTTCGGTAGCCCCCTTATTGCTGACATATGTCTACACACATGCGTGCCTACAGCTGCCTCAGAACCTCTGGGGCCACAAGCAGGCAATGCTCTGAAGGGCACCCCATGTACCCACTCCTCTCCCTCGGTTTAGGGACCTTCCTCAGGGTGAGGGAGGGGTAGACAGGACAGCCAGGAAGGAGCAGCTCCTGGTGCGTCTGGACGGCAGTGGCCCTCAGCTGGTGTAGTCTGCTCTCTTGAGATAGGACAAGCATCTCCACAAGCAAACCCCTGAGCAATCTCAAGCGGTGAGATCAGATGCCTCTGGGGAGAGCAAGGCAGGGGCGGCCTCGTGGGTGTTTGTGCCACAACTGAAACACTGGTGAGTGCAGCGCATGTCAGACTCTGTTCTGTGTGCCCCAGAAACCACCCTCCAGCTCCGCCCCTGGGAGGTCCCCAGGGCAACTCAGGGCATCAGCACAAGCGCACACGCGCACACACGCGCGCACACACGCACACACACGCACACGGGCACATGCAGTCCCAGAGACCCTGGGAAGACCCCTGCAGGATTTTGGGAGGCAGGTGCCTTCAGTTCTGTGGCTCATTTCACTCACCTGAGGATCCTGTCTGAATTGGAGCTATTCTTGGAAGGATCTCCCGCTTGAGGCTGTTGCTTCTCATGAGATTTGGCTAATTTTTCAGCAGCAGCAATGGGACACCCAGACAAACTAGAGAAAAGGCAGAGAGGACAGCTAAGCCCCCTCCTCCAGGCCCTGCCTGTCCAAGCCCGGGACCCCGGAAGCACCAGCCAGAGCGTCTCTCTCACTCTGTCCTCGAGCCCACAAACAGCAGCTGCACAGTCAGCTTCTGTCTGGGGAAACTCCAAGCAATGACACACAAAGACCAAGTATATCCTAAATGCCTTCACAGCTTTGGGCAAAGGCACCTCCTCTGGGCAGGTCTGGGCAATGGGCCTGCGGCTCACCTCCCTGCCCTCCCCTCACGGCTGACCAGAGCTGCCCTCGGGACCTGTCTCTGGCTCTCGCTCCATCAGCCAACTCAGGGAAGCCCAGGGCCCCACAGGCCACACAACCTGGGTGCTGACCCTGGAGGCCCAGGCCCCTCCCAGCAAAGGACCCCGTCTAAGACGTCAGGGGAGCAACTTCATCCGTCAGAATTAAGCTGACTGACTGCTGGCGAGGTGACAGTCGCAACCCCACTCAGGAATCTAGCCTCTTCTCAATGAAGGGGGCTCAAAAGCTCTAGCAGCCTTTGCAAGGACACATCCCATCACAGTCACGCTACCCAAGGGGCTCCGGGCAAGCGTGGGAAATATGGTCACCTCTCACTGTGCAAGATGGCAGAGAGCTAAACCCTGAGTGCCTCCCAGGAGTCTCACGTCTACCTGGGCCGTGGCACCCACAGTCTAGCCCAGAGCTTGGTCCTGGCTGGCGGAGGCCCGCCATGAGCAAAAGTCAGTGTGCAGAGGCTCCCCAAACATCGGCAGGACACACAGGCTGCACCTGGCTTTCCCCAAGGCTAGGAGGCCTCTCTGAAGGGCATATACCCATCCCTCCAGCTGCCCTCTGGTCTCTAAGGACCCCCCCCCACAGGGACCACACCTCTGACCCCCCACCAAGAGGCCTGCCCTGACCTGGCACCCGTCCCAAGCCAGGGCACACACACGAGGCCCAGCCCACCCCACCACGGCCCTCGCCATGCCTGGCTCCCCTCAGTACCTTCTGTGTGTGTTGCGGTTGCTATTCACATGGCCTTGGCCAGTACAGCCAGGAGTCGGGCACTTGAGCACATTCTCATGCATAGCCAAGACTGTAACAGAACCAGAGGGAGGGACAGGTGAGCACAAACAAGGAAGACGTAGGAGCCCCATCTGAAGTCTGCAACTCTGTAGGAGGACGGCAGCTTCGAGCAGCAACCCGGGAGGGCCCGCAAGCCTCAGCTCCGTCAGGCTGTGCTCCCGCCCACTATGGCCCCCTGCATCCCTGGGGGCAGAAACCAACTTGGCCTCAAACCCTCTGGTTGTTCTGTGATTTGCCTTTGAAATGCACATTCACAAGTACTGCCTCTAGCCTAGAAGTGAGGACAGGCTCTCTCCTTGTGCCCTTCGGAGCACAGGAGGCTGGCTCTTCCATCGCAGGCCTCCTGGGGGCCCTGACACGGGCTGCTGTCTCAGGGTGGGTAACTGGGCACACTCCACGTCCCCAGCCTCGTAGAACTCAAGTTTGGGCATCTGCCGATCAGAAAGGGACAGGGCCCTGGGTGACTCCTCCTCCATGTGAACACCATCCAAGCAGCAGAGGTGACCTGAGCTATGCGCAGCTACTCACTCTCCGGGGGGATCCTGTCCTTGTGGGGGCAACCAGACAGGCTTCGGTGGTGAGGGTACAACCCTGTAACGTGGCCAGTGCCGTCACAGCCTGGTGTTGGACACTTGATCTCGCGCTTCTCAGCTCTTGAGGGATCTAAATACAAAAGACGCATCAGTTAGAGTAGCCAGAAAGCAGCGTTGTGGGTGGCGAGTTGGGAGGAAGACGGGACAGCCATGGTTCCTCATTCACACTGTCCAGAGGAGAGTGGCCAGACTGTCCAAGAGCCCGGGAGGGACCGGGGCTGGATAGTTCTCGGGAAGCTGGTCTACATCGGCCATCCTCATGGAAAATTGTCCCATAGAACAGGATGTGCGGCATTTGAAAGAGGAGGACCCAGGTGGCAGCCGGCGTCCTCTTTCCCTGCTCCTGTTGCTACTGTGTGAATGCTGCCGGCTTCAGTGTGGGGGTCATGCCTCCAAGAGCCCCCATGCCTAGAGGTCCAGCCTCTACACAGAGTCGCGAAAAATGGGACACGTTCCTTGCCGGGACATGTCCTTTGGATTTGACAAAACGAGGAGGACAAGAAGTTAACTTGCCAACAGTCGCGTGACTAATAAATGCATGGGCAGAGATTTCAGCTCAAGTCTCAGTTGCTGACCTCATCTAGCCTCCTGGGCCAGGAGATGTCACTACTGGGTGTGGAGCCGTCCCCTCTGGGAGAATGCAGAAGTCACACAGCCACACTCAGAGCTCCCACCCCAGGCAAGGCAGAAACCCAAGGGGGTTCTGAAGTGCAGGACCCCTGGCTCTGCATCTCCACGTTCAAATGGGCAGGAAGTTGGACGTTCACCAACCCAGCAGGCAGGGTCGTCACCAACCCTTCCCCAACACCTGCTTCCTGAACTGCTGTTGCCACCACACGGACTCTGCCTAAGGCTCACGCTGCATCAGTCCCTCGATGTGAGCCCTGTCTCTCCCACTGCCAGGTGCTTCCAGCGCGGCCATCTGCCTCACCCTGAGGCTCTGTCCCCTGGGTCCATGCCCTCAACTCTATCCCTGAAGGCAGGTCCCCCAACGTCTGTTCCCACAGGTTCGAGTCACCCAAACACCTGGGCCTGGGGCTGTCACTCTGCCTGTGTCCCCCAGCCATGCACTCCTCAACAGTGTCCCACCAATGTCTGCCCTGATCTGTGAGCCCCAAGCCCACCACCTGCAGACTGATACCCTACACAGGCCGCAACACCTGTCCCTAAACTGTGTCACCTTTACTTGGGTCTCTGTGCACCTGTGTCCCCTCAAGACCTTGCCGGTCTGAATCGAACTCTCAAGCAGCTGTCCCCCACATCTGTGCCACCCTAAAAGGGGGTCCCCTTGACAGCTATCCTCCAGGTTGAAACAATGTCCTCAGCTGTGTCCCTCAGTATCTGCCCCCAAGCCTGTCTCATGTGAGTATCCCCAGGAAATCTGTGCCCTGTGTCCCCACCTACCTACCAACTGGGGTTCTGCAGAGCTCACTCAAGTCTCTCCATGACCCGGATATGTCCTCCCAGGGTCTGCCTGTGTCTCTTCATGACCAAGGCAGGCCCCCCTGGCTGTGGCTGTGCTGCTGGAGCCAGCTCCCTGTCCCTCCCACCCTCCTCCGACCTGGAGCTCTGCTTCTCTCTCTGGATCACCCTATGTGAGCAGTGTGAGCCCATCTCCTCAGCAGCAGCAGCCAGTCTGTGGCTCTGTGTCTGTTTGTCCTTTGTCTGCACCTGCCAGCCCTGCCTCCAGCCTGTAAGGGCCTCTGGCTGTGCCTCTCACTCAGCCTGTTTCTCCATGCCCGGTGGGGACAGGGAGGCGCCCCCCCATCTCTGGATGGAGGGAGGAAGGGTGGGTGTGCAGGGCCCGGCCGCCAGCCCTACCTTTGCTGCAGTAGTTCTTCCGGGCAGCATCCAGGGGCCTCACCGCCTTCCCAGGCTCACCGGGGCCCAGCTGGCCCTGCTCAGTGGGTGGGCAGCCCGGCTCGCAGACAGCTTGTACCTGCTCAGCCTTCAGGGCAATAGCCTGCTCCAGGAGGCCCAGGTTCCCACGCGTCATCATGTCGTACATCTCCGACTCGTCCGTGACCGCAGACTTCTGGGAGCGCGCGTCTTCGTCCCTGCCGTCATCAGAGTGCACCTCCACTATGACAGAGTACTCGGGCTTGGGGCTGGGAGAGGCCGGATGCCGCAGTTCGGGGGCCTTCTGGGTGGGGGCGAGGGGGGCGTCCTCCTGGCAGATGACCTCAGGAGCGGCTACCTCCTCCTCCTCCTCTTCCTCCTCTTCCTCCTCTTCCTCCTCTTCCTCCTCTTCCTCCTCCTCCTCCTCCTCCTCACCCAGGGCGACTTTCATCTTGCGGGACTCCTCACTGGCCACACCCTCCACGGCCTGGGGACAGAGCTCCTGGGAGCGCTCCCTGACGACTCCCGCGACTCCCTCCGCATCCTCCAGGGGGAGGAACGTGTCCCTCTCCCCCTCGTCACTGGTGGCCCCTTCCTCGGCCTCCTCCTGAACCAGGTGCACAACACCTGGGCCCGGCTTGGCCACCTGGCCCAAGTCCTCCCCAACTAGGGTCTCTACAGCAATTTGGCCCAAGTTTAGGAGAGAAGTGGCGATGATCTCCTGGTAGCTGCTGTAGCTGCCCTTGGCGGGGCCCGCGGAGCTGCCGATGGGCTTGGGTCCGAAGTGGGACTTGGCAGGGGCCCTTCCTGCACGGAATCAGAAAGATGTGGGAAGAGCACAAGGGCACCCTGCCCCGACACAGCCTGGGGAACACAAAACCCCCCGGACAGGGAAGTGTGTCGGCTGTGCCAGCCCCTCCGCCTGGAACTTGGAGACGCAGGGAACTTGTTTTAGGGGGAGAAGGAGTAGAGCCGCTACTGTGTTTGAAGCTGAGAAATACTCTGATATTTGTCATTAATGGTCCTCCCCTTTAGGGCTACTTTCTCAAATCAGGTAAACCTGCATTTCATAAAATGGAACTTAAAGAATAAAACGGATTTTAAAAATTGCTTCACAAACACAAAGCAGAAAACGAATTTATGCTTTTAAAAGACACAAAGTTATACCTCTTAACTGCCATGACTATGTTGTAGTGGGTGCTCACCACACACAGGCCCTGTGGGATGGTCGACAAGGATGCCCCAGGGTGCAGGAGCCAGCCTTGCCGTCCGCCCATTCCAGGAGGGGACCAGCCAGGGCTGGTGCCCAAACCCCAGACTCCCTCCTCTGTAAGAAAGCGGGCAAGCTAGTCCTTTCTCCCTAGAGCCCATGGGGCCACACACCACTTCAAGCATAACCAGAGACCCCCCCAGGAGGGAAGCAAGTGTGAGGACTCTCCCTAAGGATTGGCTCCTAAATAAAATAAAAATCCATCTCAGACCCTGCAAGGTCAAAAGACACAAGCACCTTGGGGGTCCTGGGGGGTTGGGACCTCAGGTCTCAGTCCCACCCTCAGGACTCTGAAGTCTGCCAGACTGGGGGGCACATGGACACTTCCCTCCAGAACCTGGGGCCACTTTTACACCAGCATTTGCCAAAGTTTGGGTGCCCCCCCAGGGAAGAAAGTGCAGCAGGGAATCCCTTCGGTTCCCCATCCCACCCCAGGCTGCCCTGGATGCTCCCAAACAGTCTCACCTGATGCCAAGCAGACCCCTCACCCTCACCCCCACCCCCAGCTGCTCTTCCTTGGGGCCAAGTGGGGGGGGGTCTGTCTGAGACCCCCTCCCCCCACGCACGGACGCACAGCCCATGTCCATCTGTCCATCCATCTTTCCCATGCACACAGACACACATCCACACTCACACACACAGTGTTCACAGAAATGCGCCCACAGGCCCCTCAAACGCCCTGTACCAGCCCCTCTCCAGGAAGCCCCAACAAATGTCAGGACAAGACCGCACTTGTTCTCAGGAAGGGCTTCCTCGGCGGCCCTTTCACTGACTCGGAATGGGGCCCCCTCCCCACTCACAGGCTGCGATTCTCCAGGGCCACACTAAGCGCCCTTTATTTCGGGGGAGAAAGAGCCACAAAGCACCTTCAGCTGGCTCAGGACGATGAATCTCCTCCTGTCCTGACATTTCAGCCTCGTCCTCCAGAGTTCCTTCCGATTCATCTGAAACAGAGGCGTCCTTCACCTCGGCGTCCTCGCTGCCATCGGTGTCCACGCTGTAACCCTCGTCCAGAGCCAGCTTCAGGGGGTGGGACTTCCGCGTGGATGCCAGGTGCTCGGCCTGGGCCCCCTCCAGCTTCCTCTTCTTGGCCAGGGGGCAGCTCTGCAAACTGGGAGGAAGGGGACCAGGGCCACCCTGTCAACACTCTCTGGGGGCCCTCCCGCCCACTCCCCACCTCGGCAGCCGCGTTCCCTGTTGTGAAAGCTTGTCTTTACCTCTCATCACTATCCCTCAGTTAAAAGCCCCACATTCACGACAGGCAGGTTTTTGTGCTTAACATTTTACATGAATTATCCACATTAAAAACGCATGATGTGCTTTAAATTGCATTTTGTTCTTCTCTCATAAGACCTAACTTCAGAGGCTCTGTCCACACCATTCCCCCTGTGGGGAAGAAGAGGGCACTGGCGCTCCGTCAGACCCAGCCCACTTCCTCCCACCAAGCAGGTCATCAGGATGCCCTGGGCCCTTCCTTCTCCACCTCCAGACCCTGCACACCCTCACCCACCCGCAGTCAAGCTAAACCGCAACCGCCGCCCCCCAGGATGAGAACAGTGATGACTAGATGGCAGATGATTGGGGTCACCCCAATGTGCGGCAGGTCTGCTCTGAGCTCTCCCCCACGGACTCATCCGGCCTTGCAGCCCCCAACAGAGAGACCCCGGCATGACACATCATGGCCATGTTGGCCTCAGCAGCCTCAGGCAAAGTTGAAGGGTTCTAGATCTACAAAAGGGCCCAGAGAGGAAGAGGGGCTCCCACACCTCACAGCCCAACCTCTGTCCCAGGAACCTCCTTACCTGCGGTGCCTGGAGTACTTGCCCCGGATGTGTCCTGAGCCAGTACATCCTGGGGTGGGGCAGCTGGGGGGAGGCAAGCAGGGGTGGTCACTTGGAGGAAGGACCCACCCACCCCAGACCCTCACCCTGGGGAGCAGGAAATTGTCTCCAAACAGTGCATCTCAGAAGGGCTGCTTGCAATTCACTAAAAATTAATGAAATATCTTACCCCATTTAAATAAACGAATGACTCATTACAATTTTATGAGTGTGTTTAATTAAAGATCTGTATGTATGAGATCAAGACTTCCAACATCGGTGTTTCCTAGATGGCTTCTTTTCTCTGTGGATAAGTCTTTCCTAGTGGCGGCAAACTGCCGTCAGGCTTCCAAGCAGCTGGGAAACAGGAAGCTCTGTGGAGCCCCCAGAACCAGCACCTGAGGCTGGCCCGAGGGCAAAGCAGACCATCTCTGGTGCTTTAAGGCCTGCAGCCCCTGTCAGGCACACCCTTGGCCTGGCAGAGTGAGCAGGTGCCTCCAGGCAGGAACAGCTCAATGTAGACATGCAGGCCTGGCCCAAGCTACAGGCCCCCCGCTACAACCCTCCTCTAGAACCGGCAGCCTGGTACAGGGAGGTGAGGCCAGGTGAGCTGATGACCCAAGGGCCACCCATAGACGTGGCTGGGGGAGCTGCACGGGGATGCAGGTGAGGCCCCCAGGAGTTCCTCACCCTCTACTGTCATCTGTCTCCCCACTGAACCAAACCACAGAAAGCTCTGGAAACTTCTGATCATAGGCACAGGGCATGCCACCCAACCCACTCATCCTGCAGTCAGCTCCATGCAAGGCCAAGATTCTGTGGGCTGCTGGGCACGTCCACAGACCACAGACGGCAAGAAGCGGACATCACCTCCTGTTCCGGAGTGGCAAGCTAGTGCCCAGAGAAATGGGAGAACACATGGGAACCTCTTCCCATCACTGGTGCCCCCTCTTTGGAGGGGCCATCCAAGGTGCCCAAGGTGGGAAGACCTTGTTTTTAACAGGACTGGCATCACAGGGTCTGAGCTCCCCACCTCAGATCAGGCTCTCCCAGATCCTGCGAGGGAAGAACAGGGTGGGCCCCAGGAGGGGCAAGGCCCTTGACCTCTGTGTAGACATGCCTGATGGCTTCTAATTTAATTGATCACGGGCCTGACTGCAATGCACTGTGGGGCTCATCTGACTCGTGGACGGGTCAGGGAGAAACAGGACAGTCGATGGAGGCAGAGCCCCACCCACCCTGAGCTCAACAGCAGCTTTTAGGGGGAGCAGTGGCCTCCCTGCAGCCCTCTAAGCTGGGGCCACCATGGCTGATCTTAGAGCTGGTTTTCATGAGTTTGAAAGGAGGAAGGGAAGAGAGAAAAGAAAGGGAGGGAGGAAGGGGAGAGGGAGGGAAGACATGCCACATTTTATTGTGGATTTCCTTTCCAGAGAGACAGGACTTACTGCTGTCCCGGGCCTGTCTATTCTAAAATCGATGCCCCACGCTTGCTTTCTCTCTCTCAAGAGCTAGCTTTGAGACTCTTCACAAAAGGTCCTTGTTACTGGGGGTTTGAAGCTGAGGTCCAATTAGCCGATTAATCACTGAGTTAACCAGGCAATTACGTAACAGCTGCTGTGGAGCCCTGTAGGCCATGGGCACTGCCCCTAAACACGTCACCAGCTCCAAGCCACACCTCCAGCCACCAGTTCACAAGCGTCCTGGCCTCCAGCCCAGACGGCAGCAGGACAGGCCAAGGGCCCACACGTCTGGAGCAGGTGAGGACCACTGTGGGAAAAGAAGCTGGAGCCCCCGCACTCCTGCTCTCCACGCCGTGGCGACGGGAGACCTGGCCGAATGTCCCACGGTTCACACTGTTTCCCCCACAAGCGCGCCCAGGGTGACATCACTGGTGCCCCCAGGGTCCTCAGGGCCAAAGTGAAGAAGCAGCACCAGCTCCAGGCCTCAGGAGCCTCTTCCCAGCCTGGGGGAGGAGGCAGATGCAGCCAAACCTTCTCCCTGAACTCCCCGGTGTGGTTCCCTGAGTGTGGCAGAGACAGGAACATAGGCAGGGAGGCTTGCAGAGGGCCTGCTCACAGTCAGCACGGAGCAGAGTCCTGGTGACAGCTTTGGGGCATCTAACCATAAACAGCAGGTGTCAAGGGAAGTCAAGGCTGAGGCCAGGAAGAACCAAATCCCAGCCAGAGCCCTGCACTCAGCTACCACCCCTCAAAGGGACTGACTTCCCTCCAGCCCACTGGAGGCAGGTGGAGCACCCTCCTCCATTCCCATCTGTCCCCTAGGCAGGAGCTGGTCACTGGCTCAGAGGAGGCCCTCAGGTGAGGGAACCCGGATGCAGGTGTGACAGATGGGCAACTCTCCTCGAACTTGGAGACAGCCCTGAAGATGCTCTGGAAGGGGTCCGGAGGCTTGAATCTGCAGAGGAGGCAGGTGCCTCACCTTCCCACTAGCCAACACCTCCGAAAGAGCCACTCCAAGGTTGTGTGGCAGCAGATGGGCCCAGACTAAGATACAAATGGAAGTGTCTACCGGTTATTCACTGATGCAAAGGAAAAACCACCAGGTCCGTTTGCTTTCTTTTGGGCACTCGGTGTTAAATCCAGGGCACAGAGAAGCAACATGGGCTCCAGAGGTGGGAGAAGGCAATCAGAGCCCTGATTGCTCCTGGTCAGCCTCCTGCTCAGCGCAGCTCAGCTCCTAACAACCACCATGCCACTACCCCAAGAGCAAGCAGCTTCCTGGGAACCTGCTCGAGCTGGGGAAAAGACAAACTGGGGCAGGGGACAGTGGCCAAATTCTGGGACAGGGAGGCAACCGTCCCTCATCCATGGAGCGAGTCCCACAGGAGAGCTTCACCCTAACTGGGCTCTCCCTTCCAGTGATTCTGCATAAGTTTATCTAACATCATGACATCCTGTTCCAGGTCATGTTCTCCCTGCACTGGCATCCACAGTGTAAGCCTCACCGGGACAGGGCAGAGCCACCAGTGAGCTGGGGAAGACGTCCTGGCTTGCGGTGTCTGCCCATTCTCACGGCATAAAGGTGCCCCTGTGGCTGATGTGCACAGTTAAGGAGTGAGAACCACGAGCGCACCGCAGATCACAGCCCTGGGTGTAGCTCACGGCCAGGGAGCGAAGGGCACACAGGAGTGACCGGCACCTTCCAGGCAGGACATGTGCGATTCTTTGGCATACACTGCTCCACTCAACTCCAAGCAGCCATTCCCCAAAACCGGAGGAATTGTTGAAGACCCTGTTGCTAAAACGTTAGACATCAATGCATTCGTCCCTAGTTTCTCCATTAAAAACTGTAACAGTCTCACTATTACCGAGGAAGTAGGTTGAGACCACACGATTACTGAAGGTGCTCACATAATCCTCTCATGGCTGGATCCCATCTGAGAGTATTTCAAAACAATTCTATCTTCAGAGTCATTTTTGCTTCTGCTATTTCAAAATTATGAGAGCAAGCTCTTTGGATCTGCCTTTGCAAGTTCCTCCATAACTTTATCTGTTGCCAAAATTAATTGCTGTTACCAAAACCCAGAGCTTCCTCGAGCCCTATGCCCAGCCTCCTCCCCTTCACTGTCCTGAAGATGTCCTCTGCTGAACAGCACATGCCCAGGGGAAGTGGCGCCTCCTCCTGGAAGCCTTCTCTCCCCTCCTGGTGTCCCCGGCCCCTTTGAGCATCCACTGGTCCACCCGTCAGAGGGCGCCTCCCTTCCAGGGACCATGTTCTGCAGAGCTTCCAACTGGCCTTTCCACCCTCACCCTCTCGCCCTCTGACCTGGGCTGGGGCTTTGAGCAGTACATGTATGATCCAGCTCTTCTGTTCAAACTTGGGCCCTCCGAGCCTCGGTTTCCCCACTTCACCAATGGGGTAATAATACCACCAGGCGGTGCCTCCTGAGAGCAAAACTGGGCTGTACAGCCATTGTAGAGCCCGTCACAAGCCTAGGCATCCAGCCTCCCTCTGTGCCCCTTCCCTTCTGTCCCCAGTTTACAGCCTCAAAGGTTAGAGGGACGCTGGGACACTCTGGGGTCCTCTCATTGTCCTGATTGGCAAAAAACAGGCATCAACAACTCTGGCGAAGAATGAGATGGCCCTGGCCCCAGACTTGTTCAGTTTGGTGAGAATCTTTCCCCCTAAGAAGTAGGAAGCCCTGAAGCTCCAGATGCATGCAGTGTCACAGGAAAGGTTACTCCAGGCTGGGGGCAGAGGGCCCTCAGAAACTGGGATGTTCTGTGTGTCCCCAACTAGGAGTCCAGAAGCTCACAGAAACCCCACTGAGGTGTGGTTGTTGCTCTTGGCCCCTCCACATGGGCAGAGCGCCACACCAACGCAGCCCTTGCCAGCTGTCTTGGGGTGCTGGGGGCTGAGGGTTCTGTGGTGTGCTCTGTGGGAAAGAAGGTGGGCTTAGAGCCCTTCTGTCCCCCAAGGACAAGCCTCTGGCAGGTCAGCTCTGCTGCAGTCCAAGCCTGGCTTCGTCTTGTGGGGAATTTGTGACAATTAAAGGGGGCCCCTGATGCCCATCTGACACGCTGGGACCCTCCACGAGCACCACTTCCCTTTCTCCTTTCCTGTTAGAGCCAGAATACACTGGCACAGGGGGATCTGAGGCTGGTTTTCCTTGTTGGTTACTGGACATCATCAGCACTGTCTAAGCAAAACAGCACCAAGAGCCCAGGCCCACAGAGTCTGAAGTTCGAAGGTCCTGTGGGTGGTTCTTGGACAGCCTTGACACACTAGCCTTGGGTGGGCGTTCTCTCTGGCCATCCCCCCGCTTCAAACCCAGGGGCCAGTCCCAGGACAGAAGCCAGCAGGTGAGGGCAAGTGGACCTGGCCCAGCAAACCCCTGCGGTGGGCTGCCCTCCCTTCCTCCTCCTCAGGGTGCTCATTCCCTGGTGAGATGCGACCTAGAATCTGGAAGGTCACAGAGCTCAGCCATTGCCAAGATCACCAACACACCAACCACTGTCAGCACCTGGAGTCCGTGGACGACCAGGGACTCGGCAGCCTGTTGGCTCATCTCTGGCCAAATGGGGCCTCCGGCCACCAGACACAGAAGCCTTTGTGAGAGCCCCCTGATACAGCACCTTGTTGTTGGCTGGGGACCATGGTGACAGGCAGGTCCTGGTAGTGACCAGGGGCCAGCACATCTGTGCCCCTGTCTCAAGGCTGGCTGCGTGGCGGGGCCAGGACAGAGGTGGGAGAGGGCAGAGGCAAGGTGAAGACAGTGGGACTCATGGCAAGGAGAAAAGGGGTTGAGGAGTACGGTTGGGCAACACAAAGTGCCCCGTGTGGGACAGTCGGGGTGTTCAGGGGTCACAGGCATGCGCAATGCTGGGTGCTAGCAGAAAGCCTTTCTTACCTGAGGTCGGCACCTGTGGGCTCTGGGGGCACTGGGTGAGAGAAAGAGAGAAACAGGGAAACACATGTGGGAGTCTGAACTGAAAAGGCACATTGTCCTCATGGCACAGATGGAAAAAAGCGGAGGCAATCCCAGTGAAAACTGAACCCCATCCTTTCCTGACCTCCTGGAATGTCCTGCAGAGTCCAGTGGAGTGAGCTGCCACCTCTCCCCCGATTCTTGCACCAGACTCCCCGCGAGAGGCTGGTGGTTTTGCAGAGTGGGTCAGGCGCCCCCACCTAATGCCGGCTCTCCGGGCCTTCAGGGCCAGAACAGTATCTCGTTCTCTAATTGCAGCTGGAAGTCAGCTTCCGACAGGAAACTTGACCCAGCAGATAAAGCCGGACAGAGAGAACCAAGGAGCTGGTCCCTGGTGGTGGGGCCACTGGGGGCAAAAATGCACAGGGGTCCAACTGAGCAGCTCACCCGAGAAGTTCAGCGTTCTGGCCACTCCACGCACGGGACATGCAGCCGCGGCCCAGTGTGTGCTTACGGTGTCAGGGAGGTGAGCCGGCCAAGGGATCCACCCACCCCACTGCCAGTTCCCTCCAGCACCAAGACTGACATCCTGGGGGGGCAGGAGTCTGGCGGAAGCCTGGCAGCACTTCAACTCCAAACAGAAAGGTCTCCTGACTGAGCTTTGCCTTCCCCGCCCTGTGGGGCCGTCTGCCTCCTCACCTCCACGCAGGCAGGTTGGTCTGGACCCCACAGCAGACCTCTCAGGCACCAGACACCACGGGCCCCAAGTGCGCAGGAGGTAGGAAGGGAGGGGCGCCCAGGGCCTGGTCACCCTGTGGGGCTCTGCTCCCCTGAGCCACGCAGCGTCTGCTGCTTTAGGACCTGGCACTCACGGCTGGGAGGGGGCGGCACTCACCTCGGGGGGCCTTGGAGCGCGTGCGAGCCCGCTTATCCTCATTTTCTAAGCTCATCTGCAACAAGAACAACTGCGATGTTAACGGAGGCCACACGGAACCACCCCAGGGGGCTGCGCGGGGCCTGCAGCTGAGCTGGCCGCGGTGGATCGGTGACACGGAAAGACAAGGGGGCGCTCGCAGGAGGAAAAGACCCGGGCCCCGGGGCAACAGGCCTGGGGAGGCCGCGGCTCCTGGCCCTATTCCCCGCCCTGCTCTCAGCCCTCTCCCTACCCCCACGTTTCCACCCCCACAGGAACCTCAAGCAAGAGCCCTGCCCCACCTGCCGGATCCTCGTGGATGGTAGGGTTCTTGGCACACGGTCTCCTGGCTGAGGAGCACCACCCACTGCTCACTTGGGGGTGCCAACCGCTCAGGCTTCATGGCAGCTCACCCACTGGGCCCCAGAGCCTGGCTTCCCGTTGGAGTGAGTGCCCCACCACACTAGGATCAACCTCTTAGAAACGGACGGACAGGACCCGAACGGGCCTCCACTAAGTGTCCAGAAAATGAATGACTTCAATTTCTACCACGTGCCATCCTGGAGGGAGCCCAGGGACAGGCGGCCTGAGCTCAGGCACCAGACCGTCCCTGACATGAGATGGGACGTGCTCACGGAGTGTGTGTTCCCAGAAGTGAGGCACCACCACCCAGTGGGAGCAGAGAGCAAGTCAGCACAGTGCTTTCAATGTCCTGACAGCCACATTACAAATGTAAAAGGACACATGACGTGGATTTTAATACTAACCCTTACCTAGCCCGATCTACCCAAAACATTATCATTTCAACAGTAATCAATAGAAAAAACTGTGAGTGGGATGCTGTTTTGTGCTAACTCATAGAGACCCTGCATGGCTCCTGGACTCATAGAGACCCTGCATGGCTCCTGGACTCATAGAGACCCTGCATGGCTCCTGGACTCACAGCACATCTGAGATCAGCTGGCCACATGCCACGGGCCTGTGGCCATTGTGCTGGACAGTGTGGCTCTAGACATAGGAAGCAGTCTCAAGTGGAGGCCAGCTTCGGGCAAAAATGCAAGCCAAGGGGCCATCTGGACAGGACCCACGGGCCACCCTTCCAGGGATGTCACTTCTCCCAGGAGTGGGTGAGTGGCGTGTCTTGAGGGGGACAGGGCACCCCACACAGTGCAGACCCCTCACATCCTCTGGCCACCCCACCTGAGCCCATCAGTGCACCCCCACATTCCCTGCCCCTGACCAACTTCCATGGGGAACACTGTCCACATAGTCCTATGAGGGAGTCAAAGAAGGGCCCTCAGGAGGGTGAAGCCTGGGGCCAAGAGTCACAGGGAAGCCCAAGGACGGGATGCCCCCTGGGGCTATAGATCATCACACAGAATCTTGGACCTATGTCACCCATGACAAATCTGGGCAGATAGGTAATGAAGAGGTAGGAGGTATGTGGGACCCCTGAAGTGCTCCTTGTCTCTGAGGCCAGGTGGGGAGGGGCCTCTTTCTGGCAGGGTGTGTCCTGTGCAACACATGAGCCCCACAGGGCTCACCACCTGTCCCTGTGGTCAGGAAGGGGAGGGAGCAATTCCATCTGGCCCAGGCCATAACCAAGGCTTGTCAAAGGCAAGGCCAGGCAGCAGAAGAAAGGAAGGAAGGGCAACAGAAGTGGGCTTTAGAGCCCAGAGACCTGCAAGAGACAAGTCTGAGCTTTGACGTACAGAGACCCACCAAGGAGAGGAAGGGAATCCCCCCAATTAGGAAGACAAAATTTGCAAAGTGAACCTCCCCCACAGGCGGCACTAACATACAACGATTTATGTGATGTGTTAAGGAAGAAAAATCAAAACCTGGGGTAATTTATGCAACCTGTCAACCCCAGGCTGCAGAGCACAGTGTCAGGAGCTGTGCATTTATTACAGCCTTCCAATAGCACGGAAGACAATTACTATAATCTCTATTTTTAAAGCAGAGGTTCCCCGTGGACCAATGACTCACATTTAAAGTGAAGAGAGGGGCAGGTGTCAAAGGGACTTCATTACATTTATGAGCCTTCAAATGTCATCTGCACTGAGCCCAAGCGCAATGCCTTCCCATGTAGGCCGCACAATGGAGCTAATGCGTCTGATTGCCGGGCGCCTGCTTTCAGCTGAAATGCAATCTACAGCCCTTTTTTTTTTTTTTTTTTGTCAGTTTTCCCAAGGAAATTGGCAATCATTCTGCTAGGTTAAAGCGTGCCTTGGCAATTTGGATTTCCTGCAGATAAATTATTCAAAGAGCACAGAATAGAGAGGGTTGCAGGGATGCGTAATGGGCGCTGCTTGCAAACTACGAGCTCCCATTGATGAAGCTAACAGCTGTGACATTCATTTTGCTGAGCACCTTTCCATTTGCAATTTATCTGCATCAAACGGTCAATAAGTGAGAAGTTCTCTTCAGTGCATGTAGCTTTGATTTTAAAAGGCGGCGGGGGGAAGCTCAACCACAGGAGGAAAAACAGGTTAGCTCTTTAATATGAGAATGAATCTGTGAGAGGGTGATGTAGGACATCAACAAGGAAGCGGGGAGACTTTGATTTCTGGGCTGTTTGAAAGGAGCAGTGGTGGCTGCCTCAGAAGCGTCTGGGCAGAGCTGTGGAAAAACCAGCTCCACTCGATGTCCGTTGTTTTCCTTCCCAGAGAGCTGAGAGTTCTTCAGAGGTGGGTTCTCTGATGGCCTCCCTCCCTGTGTTGTAGGTGGAGAACCAATGTCCATACAGCCCAGCATCACCTGGGATCATGCTACTACTTGGCTTCCTAGCAGCCCTCCAGGGCCTTCTGTCCCTTACCACACAAAGACAGGCCACTCATCGGTGCAAAGATGAGACATGTCCCAGTGTTTCACTGATTTATTTTTAAGAACCCTTCACTTGTTCCGAGCACAAGCCAATCACGTGTTTATTTTTGTACAGCCCAGAAATAACGGAATGGGCTCTCACCTGCAGGGCAAAAAGGCCCCCTTGTCACAGCCAAGCCAACCTCAATCCCCACTCTCACTGTGGGGCAGTGATCTCTCTCAAGAGCATCGTCTGTGCTCTGTCTCTGTGAGCCACCTTCATTCTGCCGCCAGGAGCCTGTCTTACAGCTTCCCTGTGCTCCTTAAACCATCACTCCACTCTAATTAATATTTCAATAGTTCTGTCTTCAATAGGAAAACTATGGGGAGGAGAATCATTTACAAATGCAAATACATCCTGTTTTGCCACATCCATTAACCAGAGAGAATTGTCTTTTCATCCTTCCTTCCTTTTAACTTGCTTTGTTAGTGCCATATAATGGGTCTCACTCAGGAAGGTGTTACTATTTTGTTCTGTTTTGTATTTTTTTATAAAGTCAAGATTCATCATGTAAGCTCTTTTTAAATATAAATGGTTCTCACAACATCATTCTACAAAGACCAGCCCCTTTTCAGATCCATCTGCGAAGCACCCTTGCCAAAACTGAGTTCCTAAGTTGGACATTTACAAACTTGGGGACCAAAAAAGCAAATGCAGTAATTAGGAGGCCTTGAAACCCGTAAATTTGTCTGGATTCTCAGAAACACGCTCAGAAGCCAGACGCGCAGTCAGTCAGGAAGGCGGCAGAGAGGATAGACTCTCGATGTCCAAGAGCGCCCGCTCCGAGGTTTTTCAC